GAATGCCTTTCCTTTGAATAGCGACCCCTAAAAGCTAAAACAATACCCGCACATGAAGAGTGTGCAGCGGTTCCTTGCCGATCCTCCAGACAAAGGCATGGCTTTTTACCACGTCCTGCATCTCTCAACGTGAACGCCAGCCAAGCTGGAGGTCACAGAGTATTGTCTCCCCGTGGGCAAAGAGATTTTATTTTCATCTCCCCAAACCCAATGTCTGTTTATTTTATAGCTCAATTTCAGAGCACTATAATTTTATCAGTGAGTGTCTGAACAGCCATCACTTATAAATGGCTGTATCGGGTCCAGTGCTAGAACGAGAGCAGTTTGGCTATCCTGACTTCATTTCACATTCCTTGTAAGGCATTCCTTTCAATATTTGCAAATAACTGTCCTATCTCTGACACGTCCAAGTTATTTCTGCCGGTTACCGGCTTCCTGTGAGTTACCAGACACAGTTCCGCAGCACTCATACAGTTAAGGCGTGGGCTTATTTTGTTTCCAGCGCTTTAATGGTACTTTTACAAAGGATGTTAAAAAAGAACAGAACGCTCTAGGGGGGAGCATCTGGGGGGAGGCTGCATTTTTTTAACACGTTTTGAAAAGCGTGCTCGACGCGGATGTCACACGTGACTTTGTTTTACAGTCACGAGCAGACTTGACCTAGCACGGAGTGGGAGCTGTTGCTTCAGAGCAGACATGCGTTTTCCATAAGTCAGTGGCCTTGGTTACTGTCATCCAGCTCAGGAGCGCAGATGGAATCAGCCACTGGTTTGTTGCCAGTGTTTGCAAGGTTTATTCCAAGTGTGCATTCAAATAAGCATTCAAAGCTCCATTTCACTTATTGAGAAGGGACTTCCACGCCAGGGTGTCAGCCTCATAAAGTTAATGTAGATAGATGCATAGACAGATAGATACATAGATCCAAAGATACATAGATACAGACAGACAGACATATCGAATGCAGAAAAATCATACTTTGGATTTTCAACAAAACGATGATTAAAAGTATTCAGCTGTGGTAGGAAGAAAATAATCTCTATTTTTATACACCTCAGCCCCGGAAAACCTTAATTTAAGTGAAGCTTTCCAAACCTACTAAACATTGATTTTTTTTTTTTTTTTTTTTTGGTTACTGCGACAGTCCCATTCTTTTTCTTTTTAAGAAGAAAAGAGCTGAGCTATTTTATGGCTACATTTTATAGCTTCGAAATTAAAATCCATTTGACACTGAATAGAAACTGAATCCATTTCCTCTCTCAAGGACAGACTTTTGAAGTGTGGCCCCAACTAATTCCGCTGGGAGGTTCTGTTTGTCTTTTAGGCAGCTCTAAAAAAGGTCATAACTTCCGGAATAATGATGATGACGACGGCTCACATTTAGCGCATGCGTGTTATGTTCCGGTGTCTATTCTTTGCCGTCATGGATTTACACTTTTATTAAGACCGTTTCACTTCAAATCTTTGACTTTTGATGGTCCATCAACAGTTTAACGTTTGGAAGAAGCAAGGCGTGTTGGAGACACATCAGCCTCCGAACTTCTGTTTGGGCAGAGCTGTGCTTGGGTCTCGAGTTTTCCCCCTCGAAATCAAGGTGATCCTGGACACGTTTCTTCTTCCTGTGCTCGTTCCTTGATCCGTAAGACGTAAGATGCAGATGATGATGCCTGTCTTTGGGGAATAGCAGAAAGCACGCGGGGTGGAGTGCCGTCCTTGGGCTCAGAGGAAAGCTGCGTGGACGCAGAGTTAATCATATTCACGGTGCGCCGCTGGGTGAGGTTGTTTGCTGCCGCTCGGGAGCTGTACAGTCTGCTGAGCTCTTAGGTTTAGGCGGTGGAATTAAGCTCAGTGCAGCGAGACATTCTCCTTGTGAAATCTGGCCAGCGTCATGCAAAGTATCATTTCTCTCTTTCTTCTTTTTATTTTTTACTTAAAACAATTTTTAACTTTTTAACCAAACATTTAGAGTTCTTAGATGTTAAATACAACTGTGATGTGTAAGCCCCCAACCAGTCCCTCTGAAATGTAAAAGCACAGATGCGGGCGCGTCCAGTGTTTGTTGGATTTCCATTGAAGCCCAAAGGAAACTCTGGGCAAACTCTGCGTGAACTAAAATGGAAGTCAGTCCAACATTTTTTTTTGCGTGGATTTGTCCACAGGGTGACCATATTGTTCATTGTGAAAAACCAGGCACCTTTGAGAGTGAAAGGGGTGTTATTGATAATTATGCTGGGATGACGGCCATGAACCTGAACCAAATGACCTAGGTAATGACCGTCTGCTTGAAGAGCTGGGATCAGATGCAGAGTTGGTATTTGTTAGGGATCAAGGGTGCGTCCAGCCACGTAGGGGAGGCACAGTTTTCTAATAGCCACGTTGAAAGAAAATAAAAAGAAACAGATGAAATTCATATCAATAATATATTTTATTTAGCTTCATCTATCCAAACTTGCATCATCTCAACATGTAGTCGATATAAACAGTGTTTTTCCCCATCCCACCTGCCCATAGAACTGACCGTTGGTTTCAGTGCAATATAAACAATTTTTAATGAGATCTTTACATTCTTTTTTTTTTCGAGCCTCTGAAATCCTGCATGTATTTTACCCACCAGCTCATCTCAGTCTGGAGATTAAATTTGTATCGAAATACTTGGTTTTTATTGAGACTCTATACCACTTGCAGCTGAAAAAGTAGATTCACATGTCCAGGTTGTTGCAAGTATACTTGTAAAGCTTTGTAATACCTGAATCAAGCACCAGTGTCAAAATTTCAGTTTAAGTCCATTCAAGTGAATAGTTAAAAATGCAGTTCCCGGGCACACTAGCCACATTTCCAGAGCTCAGAGTGGGTGCTGGGCGGCACTGCTCCCCGGAGAGGGAGCGATGGGGCAGGTGGTCCCAGCCAGGCCTCCTCTGTGTGCTGGGCACCACTACAGGGACCTTGCCCATTTCTCTTACTAATCCTCACGGGAACCCCACACAGGTGTTACCGTGATGATCCCAGAGAGGGTGAGGCATTTACCTTCGAAGCTCAGCGGGAGATAACAGGGCTGGGACTCGAGGGAGGTCTCAGCCTGATGGGTGCTCGGCCACCCCTGAGAGCGTTTGCACGATTCCTCGTGTGGCTGTCTCTCCCTCTGTCTCTCTCTCTCCTTCTTTCTCTGTCTCTCTCTCTGTATGTCTCTGTCTCTACCTTTGTCTCTGTCTCTCACTCTCTGACTCTCCCTCTCTCTGTCTTTGCATCTCTCCTTCTTTCTCTGTCTCTGGCTCTGCCTGTGTCTCTGGCTCTCGCCCAGTTTTCTGTGCCTGTCTCTCCTCCTCTCTGTGTCTCTCTTTCTCCCATCTC